ACCATCGCAAACCTCACATGCGACGACTCAGCTATAAGTTTATATCTGACTATTTTGTGATCACATCCAGGGAGACCGTCAATTACATCAGTAGCTATCTGGGAGGTGCCTGAGGTAAAAAGTAGGTCTAATATATTTTTTCCCCTGGTAGCCACGAGAACATGTTGCTCCCAACCACCAGTGATGACGGAGGTTATGAACTCTGCATGTTTCGCGTTCGTTACTAAGTTTGACCAACAGATATCTGGTAGATTGAAATCTCCACCTACAACTTTATCGAAGGAACCAAGATCCGATATGTAATTGAAGATGTCAGCCAACTGGTTCTCATCACTGAAGCTGGTCCCGGGTGAGCGGTATATACAGCCTACAAGAGTTCGCTTAGTACCAAAGGACAAGAGTAACCAAGCGGAATCAATAGTGGGGCATATAAGTGGAAGTGTGAATCCAGACACAGTGAGGTTCTGTGAGTAGTAAATTATGCAACCACCTCCTCTGCCTTGTTTTCGATCACTTCTAATAAGCTTATAATCTTCGATAGGAAGCAGCTGGCTGGGCATAGAATCATGACACCAGGTTTCAGTGAGTAAAATCATATCAGGTTTATTCATACTTATGAAGGTGCGGAGTAAATGAAGTTTATTCAACAGAGAACGGATATTAATTATCATCAGTTTTAAAAACTCTTGGCGTTGTTCATCACTCTGTCCAGTATTTATTCTTGCAATCACATCAGTTCTAGAGCCTTCCGCAGCAAATCCCTTACCGTGAGATTCGCCAGTCCTATCGGGATTAGGGGGGGGGGGGGTGGGGGAATGCAAAAAGAATGCTGTGGTAATTTGGGGCGATCGAGCTTAATTGGATAGGGTGTAATTGCCGAAGGGCTCACAGAAGGCATTGTGAGAGGAGGAGGCGGAAGAGAGTATGGATAGGGGCATAAATAAGTGGTCTGTGACTCAGCAAAGCCATGTACAGGCCTGCCAAGAGAACAGCCTTGGCACATCGCCGGAACAATGGGGAATTGTGGCTTGCCACTCTGTGCAGCTGCATTATTATTCACGACTGTCATTGGGACACGGGGAGTCACCTTTCCAGCACGAAGGCCCCTGTTTGATCTAAGACGCTTAGGATGCGAACCATGACCACTACTGCTATGTGTAGTCATAATGTCAATGGGCCGTAACGTAGCTTCACTGGAGCTATCGACAGTCTCATTTGATGTTTTTGGACTTGTCTGTTTCAATAGTGGTGTGGGGATTGATCTTAATTCCTACTGGTTTGTCAGAACGTGGTGCATCGAGTGAAGCTACACTATTTCCTATATCCACAAGACTAATGTGGTGTGGAGGCGTGAGCATCTCAATTTCCGCTACGTTGTCGCCAGTCTTAGCATCGTTCGTGTGGAGAGTGGCCTTGCTAACATTATCTGCCTTTTTAGAAGGGGAGAACCAAACACTGTTGAATGATCTTCTTTGCAATCCAGGAAGCGCGCAGGGAGGATGACTCTGCTTCGGCTCAGGCGAGACATTAGTTGCACTCATGCGTTGAAGCTCACGTTGCAAAGGTGACCTGTCTACGAATAGAATAACTTTGCAAAATTTCGGGACAGATCTTAAAGTATTTTGACTTTTGATAAACGAATTTGCGAGACTTTCGCTACGGAAGCTGAACAGAGTCGGACAAGGAAAACGCAAAGATTTTTTCCTCAGTCTTCTACAACTAATATCGGTTTCAGCGATGTTGCACGCTCTCGAAACAGAGCGCCTAATGTTGTCAATTGCGATATTGTCAGCTATGTTGAGGGCGATGACGTTTTTTCCCCTTCTGCATCTTTGATTAACCTCAGAGGCGATTGCATTTAGGAAGTTTAAGGCTCCAATTTTGTGCTTTTGCGCTGGATTAACCGGAGACTGAATTATGTATGAAACTGACATTAGGAGATCTCCGAATGAGTCAAACAACTTTAGTTTCTCATTTTGTTCCTCTAACTGTTTTTCCAACGTCTTTATTTTGGATGACAGTGAAGATATAAGGTCGACAACACTAACTGAACTTTCTGTGATTTGTTCTTTGGACTTATTTACCTACTCTTGTATCCCAGCCGGGCAGCCTGAGTACGACTAAATTCAATAACCTCCCTGGGCATACTTCCAGAACTTCGGTATACCACTACAACTGTAAACTGAGCAGAGGAATTGCACACAACAGTCGACAGGGCTTCAGCAGTTTGATGCGGCGACTGGAAAACACAGGTCCTCAACACATCAAGTTTACAACTCACATAAAGTGCGACACCCCCACCTTGGTGGCCAACGGAGCGATCACAACTAAGCGGTCCGTAGTCAGGTGAACATAATTCACCGTCTGTGATGTCCGGGTATAATCACGTTTTATTGAACACAGGCATGTCAGGACGAGATTTGTCTACAAGTAGACTCACCTCGTGCACCTTGTTCCTTAGGCTACGCACAGTGCTAAGCTCTACCCGAAGGAACTCGGCACACCCAGCCTTGGGTCTTACGCTACGAGGAGGGGTTCCGGTAGGACAGAATTTGACTTCCGGCTGATCACCTGAAAACCCACAAGGGGGTCTTGCTCATCAGCCTCCCGCCTGCTCTTGAAGCTTGTTATGCCTTCCTTTAACTTCCAAATTCGGGGTCATACTCTTGTGAATGATTTAACAGAATTACTAGTGAAACTGTGGGAGCAGGAAACTGTCCCGACAGACTTGCTACTCCGTTATAATCCCAAATTTCAAGGAAGACTCACGATGGGAATGCGGCAACCATCGCTTCCAAATTACTTACCCCTGGCACCCTTCACACACTGACTTGCAGTCGTGAAAGCCAGATTTGTGTAGAACAAGTTTAGATTTCGTCGAGGTCGATATGCATCGACCACATATCCACATTGCGTCATTTGGAGCACCGCCGTGTATATTGGTGGCCCACCGTTGTCGTGTTCCTGGACATCAAAGGTGCCTTTAGGGACTGTCTGCTAAAAAAGGTGTGCCTGAGAAGTATGTAAATATTATCCAAGCATTATATGCGCGTATCTTGGGCAAGCTGTGGCCGCCCCTCAATATCTGCAGCGGTGTCAGACCGGTATGCCCCCTCTCACCTTTCCTCTTCAACTTTGCTATTGACGAAGTCCTGGAGATCGCGTTCACAGGACACGACTTAGAAGGTGTGGAGTTGCTCCCAGGTGAACAGCTTTTTGACTTGGAGTATGCTGACAATATTACCCTCATCTGTGACAGCTCTCAAACGTGCCAAGCGGCACTGCACAGATTAGCACTAGCTGTCATCCGCTTCGGGTTGTTTTGCATCCTCAAGGTGCAATGCTTTCCTCCAAGATTTATAAGGACCGCCTCCTGCGCTGACCCTTGGTAGGGATCAGCTAGAAGCCGTTCATAAATTCAACGTCCTAGGTAGTTGTATCAGCGCTGTTGGCATTGAAGACGAAGTCACATCGCATAGCCAAAGCACGAGACGCTTTTGCTAACCGCCATTTATAGCGCCGGCGTGACCTCACTCCTTGAGAAGTAGAGTGTACAATGCAGCCGTTCATTCGACCCTACTGTAATGTGTCAGCTGTACGCCGTAACGGCGCTTCGCTGCCGTGCGACCACCGCCAGTCACACGCAGGCTGAGTATACCGCGAGGACGCCCACTCCTACGCGGATTTGAACCCGCGCCGCAAGTTAACGAGGTAAGCTCGTTATATCTAGGCTACGGTTGTGTAACCTGGCCCATTAGATCAGCCGGCAAAGAGGCTAGTTACGCCCGATCACCGGTACCTTCGCAGTTTGGCTCATATCTGGTAGGAACACTGTTTGAGTAATGAGCGTGTCCAACGCCTTGTTTATGGCACATTAAGAAGAAGCGAACCGCTCAGCATCGTTATTTCACGCACCAGGCTCCAATGGCTGGACCACATGTTGCGCATGCGAATCATAGACTCCTGCGACATGCGTTGTTTGCGCGCCGGGGTGTGGATGGAAAAAGCGATGGGGTGACCAAGCGATGACTTGGTCAGAAGGAATGAAAACCCTTACTTCCGTGTTGGTCTCAGGTGGGGCTTTTTGGCTCTCTGGAGACCGAAAGACGATGAACACTTGTTGACATGGCTAAGATTCGACTTCAGTAGTGTTTGTATTGTGAGTTTCTTTGTCCCTCTCCCTCCAACCACGATCTCATTTATTAGGCATAATATAATTCATTTTTTACGGCGCAATAACTGGCTGTTAGCTCTCCGGAACGATGCCCATCCGTTACTGGGGACATAGCCGGCATGCCTCTGTTTCATGCTTTTTTACTTTGTATTGCGGTACAATAGCTGAGGTTTTTTTTCACCTACAGCTAACGTGTATGATAAAACTAATATGTGTTGTGCATTAAGTGTTTTTAGCGTCAAATTCGGCTGGGAAATTTGTTTCTTTGTTTGAGCAGTCAAATCGATAGCTTACGTCTGGGCTGTAGATGTTAGGTAAAGTGAAAATAGGAAAGCTAGTACTTAGTACTTCAACAACAGAACATCCCTTTGTATTGCGGTACAATAGCGGAGGTGTTTCCCCATCTCTAGCTGACATGTATAATGATGATGATGACAACAGAAAACCACTAGCTTGGGTGACAAGCAAACGGTTAGGTAACATAGTCCGTTGGCTAAGGTATTAGTAACGTACATATGTTCCGTTTTTGCACACATATTTCTGGCTTCAAATTACGGCTTTATATAACATCGGCAGTGGACAGGAGCTGCTTGCGCAAAGCGTTCAGACAGTGAGATATAATTTTGAGGTCACCCCCAGAGGCTGTTTGCTCAAAATCAAGTAGTTGTAACATGATATAACTTTTAGTGGGTCTCATTTCGCATTTACACCGCCTGTCGATGTGAGGCATCGTGACTTTTTAATTCACTCATTCTCGGCAGTTCAAACAATGCACGATCAACGAATGTTTTCGGTTACTAACTATATACCGCATTCTCACACTTCAGTTACATCAATGTTCAGTTCGTTTGTTCTTGTCTTCTGTGGATTTTACGAGTATTACTTGCGACCTATCGTGAAGTGGACACTTCGGAAGTTAACTGGCAAGTGTGAGCTCCTTCGCCTCACTATTGGCCGCCAAAAGGGAGCTTCGCGCACGCGTGCCGTTGGTTTGTAAGTGCTTATTCTCAATCACTTACTTTGGCTTCGTTCTGCAGAAAAATCTATCAGATGTTCCAGACGCCTTCCACCTCTGGTTCTGTACACTGACGAAGACTGTATTAGATACTTAGACTGTGCCACCAAGGTGAAGCGCATTGACGCCGATGTTTACCCCAGGTACCTACTGGAATTTCCTCTGGTGATCTAACCGTCCCTAAAGCTTTTCATCCTCCTTCATTTATTGTCTTAGACAGATCTGCGCTTATGATCTGTTATTAACCCATCTGGAGTCCTTACGGTCAACCGCCGTTGATTGGAATAATGAAGGACATCTGAATCTTCTCGATAAAGTACATCATGCGAGGTGACTCATTCTGCTTTTCGATAGCTATGGACCTGCTTGAACACCGAAACGACGAATGTTCCCATACGTTCTCGTGAGTGGCAAACAGTAGGCTTTCAATCCGACAATCCCCAGCAGGACTTTCGTGGCATGGGAGTTTTATCCCTTGAGAATTTGGTGTGAGTTAATCAGTGGTCTACTACTGTAACGATCCTATCCCATATTTGTTTTCATAATTTCCGACTTACTCCTATTCCTCACTGATCTTTTTGTGGTTTATTTCGAGACGACCGTTGCAGTCGAACAAATTGCATAATCACTCGTGAACTTGTTCTTCTTATATTCACTTCGAATCCGACTTTTTTCACATGATGCGCATTCGCAAGTTGTTCAGTTTCACCCCTCACTGCCGATTTACATCATGACCGATACGTGTACATGGTCACTTGGAAAGGTGAAGAAAGAAAGGTGTCAGCTTATACGCTGTAACGGCGCTTCGCTGCCGCGTGACCACCACCAGTCGCGCGCAGGCTGAGTATACCGCGAGGACGCCCACCCCTACGCGGAGGTCACTTGGATGAGGCGGTGATAGGATAGTACATTGTTACAGCATATGACATTGAATTAGTTGCGCTGTTTGTGCATGTGCTCACCGCTTATCGAAGAGGGTTTTGTTTTATTCAGTGGATACATGATGATGCAAGGGTTGAGCACAAAGCAATCTTTAACATAGCAGCTGACGACGAAACTGGGCGTTGTTTGTCCATCTAGCATTCCAGGCCGCTCGACATAACCTAACCAGTGTTTTGCTTGAAACTTTAAGGAGCATTACGCGCAACCGGCACCAGTGGTGCATTCGTTGTCACCTCGGGCTGACAGTTGCATTTTTGATTTGATTGCAGAGATTACGCCACCAATCCAGACGGCATCCTCAATATGTAATAGTAAGTAGCACGCTATCAGATACCTAGCCCCAAGTAACTACAAAGCCGGAGAGGCGGCTTTGTTGCTGCAAGTTCCCATCACGCCATCCCACGACTGGTTTCATCCTAATTTGAACCCTTCTGATCGAGATAACCTATAAGAATTTTACCTTGGGCAGTGCAGTTGTCAGCTGACACTTTTATTGCCGGGTTACCAAGAAGCCAACGCTTCTCACGTCTGTCAGGAATGCGATGCTTGGTTTTAATTCATTCCCACTGTGTTTTGTTCTACGACACGCAACATCTATTTGTATCACGATTTCTTGCAGAGTCAATCTCGGTATTTCGTTCAGTGGAACTCTATCCGACGTAGGAACGTTTTGTTGTTAAATGCTTCTAACACTGCACTTTTTAGTCAGCGATGGATCAAGTTAGGAATCAAACTCATCAACATGTGGTTAGTGTTATTCTTCGAACCTGCTAGCTTTGTGCTATCCATTTCGGTTGGTAGGCACTTTTTCCTGGATCTGGTTTTCGCCTTCGGGTATCTACCTGCGAAGTTCTAGCGAGAGCTAGACCTGTCTTGAGGTTCAGTATTGGGGAGATTCGGAGCTGCTTTCTCCCAACACTTCATCAGATCCGAACCTCTCCACTTCGGATTCGGTCCGAGTGATCGAAATAGCATAGGGTTGCTTCAAAGCAAATTGTAGCCTCAATCGAGATTGCGTGTCGCAATGCAGACACACGGTGGGTACTCCAACACCAAATGTTGAACATCAGTATTGTTTTACATCTGATGCGGCTGATTCACCAAACTATCTCGTGGGGCCAGCTAAAGAGTCCAGGTTCATCTCATTCTAGCAAATGGTTCAATGACAGTATCGCAGGACCTGGTAGCTTTTCTCCCCACTAGCGCTGTATCTATAAAAAGCCACAAATATCCATCTAACAATACTGCGAGGTGGCGAATGTGACTCGCCACTAACTGTAATCACTGGCACCCTCAACTTAGTAGAGCATTGTGGTCCAGAAGATGCACGCGGGCCCTCTTTGGCAACTCATTAAACCAATGGCTTATTAACTGAAATATCGATCCCTGGAGCCAAATAGGCGCGATGTTCTGACTGCTCCGCTGCTTTATGAGTAAGCCTTTTAGCCAGAGTCTCGTAGTGGTATCCCTTACGTTGACTTCCTACCGGCTTGGGCAACCGAGTAGTACTATATATATATATATATATATATATATATATATATATATATATATATATATATATATATATATATATATATATGACAGATGGTCTACCCACTGCTGCTACTGTTGTGCCATTTGCTCATGTCCTGGGCGCCTCCTCGTGGCGACCGCTGGGTGGGTGTTGGGTTTCGCCCTTCTCCCTGCTAAGATCCAGGACATCAATCCGCACGAGTCAGTGAACTGACCATGTGCTAGACCCGCTGCCTTTCGGGTGTATATTTAATCGAAGGCTTTGGCTGAGGACCCGAGTCGTTCTCCTGTCAGGAGTGGGCGCCCTGGCAGTATCCTAGTCCATCCTCTTCGGAGGTTAGGAAGTGGTCGATGGCAACCTTCTCGTAAAACCTAGCCATGGGAGACTACAGGTCTACGGGTTATAAGCTCACTGCTCGATTGGCGTAGAGCACGAGCGCCACGCATTGTCTCTGACTGTGGGAGGACACCTCCGGGTGTTCAATGGTTTGCTACTGCCCGCCTCAAGCCAGGCAGCCCCTGGTCAAATTGGTGCAAACCCGCCAAAACCCACCTGCATCTGGCCGTGGTCGCAGGTGCGTATCGTACTACGGTCGCAAAACATATGTGAATCGTTCCAGTACCTCAATGGCTGTGTGTGACGGTCGTCAAGCAGACCCCAATCTGTTTCTGCAATCACATTCCCGAGCTGGATCTGCTCCCCACTGCCTTGTGGGTCAGGCTATTGAGCCAAATGCTCCGGGCGGAGTCCCTCAAGCAAACATCCAAATCACCCACTGCTTTGTGGGTCAGGCTATTGAGCCAAAAGCTCCGGGTGGAGTCCCTCAAGCAAACCTCCGAAGCACAACGACCACCTCGCGTGCGATTGCCCACCAATGCAATCGTATGCCTGCGCGCAAAGCACTCAGCATCGGGTGCTGGAACGTGCACACACTACTGGACCGGAACTCCAGCGAGCGCCCGGAGCGACGCACAGCACTGGTTGCGATGGAGCTAACGCGCTACAACATCGATATTGCGGCGCTCAGTGAAACCCAGCTCGCTGAGCAAGATAAGTTGCATGAAGCAGGTGCTGGCTACACATTCCACTGGGTGGGCGACACCGCCTCAGCACCACGTGAACATGGGGTCGGATTTGCAATATCCGATCGCCTCCATGGCCAGCTGGTGGTTGAACCAACGGGCATCAGCGCGTGACTGATGACTGTTCGCCTACAACTCGGAACAGAAATGTTTGCCACCTTTATAAGCACATACGGTCCGGCCACGTGTTATCCTGATGACACACGTGACCAATCCTACACTCAGCTATCTTCCGTGATACGGTCTGTGCCGAGGAGCGACCGACTATTTCTGCTGGGTGATTTCAACGCGCGCGTTGGGCGTGATGCATCGGTGTGGACAGATATTATCGGTCCGCATGGCATTGGTTCAGCGAATGCGAATGGTGACAGGCTGCTCTCACTGTGTGCCACTCACGGCCTGACGATCACGAACACTCGGTTTGCACTGAGTGCGAGTGATATAGCAACCTGGACGCACCCACGGAGTAGTCACGCTCACCTGCTCGACTATGTCATCGTACGTCAGCGTGATATGCGTGAAGTGCGCATGACACGTGTACTGCGTGGAGCTGAGTGTAGCACTGATCACAAATTGGTTCGGACCAAACTGTACATATATTTTCGTAAATCTATATATTGCACTCCCGCCGTGAATCGGCGTAAATTTAACATTCTCTCCCTCGGTACTGTGGCGAAACGTACTGAGCTGGAGAAGGCGATGGCTGCACGCCTGTGTGAGCTGGAATGCATGGCCACAGTGGGCGACCTGTGGCACCACATTCGCGACCAGGTGACAGCTGCTGCCAAGGAGACCATCGGGCGCACAAACTGTAAGAGGCCTGATTGGTTTGATGAGAACAATGCGACAATTGGCGCATTGGAGTCGGAGAAGAATGCAGCATTTGCTGTACATGTCGCAGAGCCCAGTGACTTGGGGAAAAGTAGTCAGTTTCGCAAACTTCGACGGCGACTGACCCGAGAGCTCCGTCGCATAAAAAATGCATGGCGGACGGAGAAGGCGAAGCAGATGGAATGCTACGCCGAAAGTCGCCAACACAAGAAATTCTCTGATTCCTTGAAGGCGGTGTGTGGACCGAGGTTGGAGCCGCTGAGGGCGCTGATCGGTGGTAGTTCAGGCGTTGCGTGCACACAGGCTGCAGACCTAATGCAGATCTGGCAAAAACACTTTGTCTCTTGAACAACCGTTCAGAGGTCGACTGGCCTACTTTGAACGGCCTCAAGCAGTACGACGTGATAAGTCTGGCGGACACGTCGAAACTAGATGAGACGCAGGGAACACTTGCACAGCTGCGAAACGTCAAGTGTGCCGGTTCCGACGGCATCCCGTCTGAAGTATTGCAACACGGCGGACCCGCGTTGTTGACTGCGCTGCACCACTTGGTGCAACGCGTATGGATTGAGGAGGAGGTGCTTCCTGAGCTGAAGGATGCCCTTGTACTACCACTGTACAAGGGCAAAGGAACCAAGCAATGTTGCACGAATTATCGTGGTATTAACTTGCTGAGTTGTGTGGGTAAGGTGATTGCCCGAATCCTGCTCAACCGTCTCGTCAGTCAGGTTGTTGAACCGAACGTGGCGGAAGAGCAATGTGGATTCCGTTCGGATCACAGCACTATAGATATGGTGCTTGCGGCTCGTCGGTTGCAGGAGAAGTGCATAGAACGACACCAGTCTTTGTACTCGTTTTTGATTTCACGAAGGCGTTTGATACGGTGAACCGCCAGGCATTGTGGCTGGTGTTGGGTAAGTTTGGTTGCCCACGTAATTTTGTAAATTTAATTGAATGTCTGCTTAGTAGTATGTGGGCGAGGGTGCAGCTGCGTGGAGAGACTTCGGATGACTTTGCAGTTGTTACTGGTGTGAATCAAGACTGTGTCTTAGCTCCTATCCTGTTTAATATATATCTTCATGCCATGATGTCTTGCGCTTTTGATGCCGCTTGTGCTTACGGTGTTCGTGTGGAGCACCGTATTGATGGTGGGTTGCTGAACATCTGTTGTTTCGCTGCGAGAACTAGTCTGTGAGACAACTATCCGTATGTTGCTGTTCGCTGACGACTGTGTTGTTCGCACACAGCGCGGATGAGTTGCAGCACATGACTAGTGCTCTGGCTTCGACAGCGGCCAAGTTCGGGCTCATCATCAACACAAGCAAAACTGTCTCTTTCATCCTTCACCGGAAGTACAATCTTCAATATTGCCGCGAATCAGCATAAGTGATGGCGTATTGGAATCCACCTCCCGCTTCTGCTACCTTGGGAGTGTGATGTCGACTGAGCAACAGCTACACACTGAGTTGCGTATCCGCATGTCGAAGGCAGGGGCGGCATTCGGGAAGCTAGCGTACCGAGTGTGGAACAACCATCAGGTTACCACTGGCACGAAGCTGATGGCGTACAAATCAATGGTGCTGTCCATTCTTCTATACGGCAGTGAAACGTGGACGATGTACCGTCGGGATGTGCGTTATCTCTAGCGGTTCCATCAACAGTGTTTGCGACGAATTTTGCGCATCAGCTGGGGCGACAAAGTTGCGTACACGGAAGTGTTGCGTCGAAATGAAATGTATGCAGTGGACTGCATACTTTTGCTGAGCCACCTTAGGTCGCTCGGTCATGTGTGGCGTATGGATTCGACGCGGATACCGAAACAACTCTTATACGGTCAGCTGAGTATGAGGAAGCGGCATATGGAAGAACCAAAGTTACGTTACCAGGACATGATTAATGTGAGCCTCACGTTGTAATCTTGATTGCCCGTCATGGGAATCGAAGGCGGTTGCTCGGCGTGCATGGCGCGATCTGCTCACGAAGGGAGTTGCCGAGGTGCAGTAGAAAACCCTCATGCATGCGGAGAAGCGGCAGCCGCCGATGGGTTGTACTCCATCGACATCGAGCGCATGGTGCTGTAGCACATGCGGTCGCGAGTGCCTGAGTCAGGCAAGCCTAGTGAGCGTAGGTTGGCGTCCTCGCGGTATACTCAGCCCGCGCGCGACTGATGGTGGTCGCGTGGCAGTGAAGTGCAGTTAAGGCCTACAGCTGACACATCATCATCAGTGAGCCATGAGCGAGACCACTACAGAAGCGACGACTGGTCCTGCAGAGAACGTAGGCAGAACCGACGCAACGCTTGTAGGTACGGTGCTTTCGATTTACTAACCACCTGCTTACATTCTGGGTCTCTATTTTAGGTAGTGGGTTTGCTATATTGTCTCATTAACGTCTGCATGAACTATCTTCTATTAACTTGCACATGTCGCTCAATTCAATTGTAGCTAACTTTGCCAACATTTTGCGTTTGTGGCATTTTTTTAAAATTTATTTTTTGACATCTTGAACCTGTAGGGGATGTTTTAGTAGCCAATTAATTTCATATGCTCATTTATTAAAGAGCTATATCGGCATATCTCTATGCATTGTTCGATTTATTTTATTTGATATTGTCGTTTCAAGTGATTGGCTGTTGCTTGGTATTCCCGTTGTGGCTGCGCTTGGTGTGCATGTTGACAAGATACCTACCTGTCTATTACCCACTACCTCGTTCATACTGGCTCCAGGAGACAGTTGGTCGTTGCTGGTGGGGACGGGGTGCACGGTCCTTGTGGCCGTGTTAGGATCAAAGAATGGTTACATGCACTCAGTGGGGAGCGGACTACAGTCCAACCAACGGCTTATATGCGCTTGATTCCCCAAATGCAGTGTGCTTGTTTTCGCCTGTGAAGGAGTGTGGACCGGCTCCGTTGATTTAGGGTGGCTCCCATCCACATGCCTCCCGGTCTTATTCCTTCGGGTTTACACTGGATATGGGGTGTGTGTGATTGGAGCTGTGGGTGGTGCAGCGCAAGCCACGCATGGTTCCTCTGTAGGCGCAGGCGTCCTGTGCCTGGCCACAGTGACAGGCAACTCTGGAACCGGATGCCACTCACCATATATCGTATAAAGTTGCTGTGATTGAAATATCCATCGTTATCCATAAACTTTGTTCCTATTAGCGCTTTTCTGTTGCAACATTCACTAAACTGGGTGTATCCTCGTCACTACCCTTTGGTCTTGACGCAGTCCTGCTAACTTAAGTGGGTCAGTTGTTTCGTGGTGCGGCAAGCACTGCACTAGATGTACGAATAACGGGTGGCGATTGCATGTCAAATGTCATTGTGCTGGGGTCAGATAGGTTTGTCCAAATGGCCTATCTGATGAGAATCGTTAACTTTGCTAGCGACGTCCATGTCTAACTACGCCATCGCACTCTTCTCTATCCAGAAGCGGTTAATGTTTCCAGAATGAACTATCTCAGCTTCTTTTATTCACTCAACGATTTCGCTCGCGTTGACATTTAGGGCGTTCGTTGCTTTCGCCTAATGATCTGCTCATCTCTCAAGCTGGCCTCATGCCATTCTATGACGCCGTGCTCTCACGGGTTTTCAGCAGCTTCTTATTTTTGCATTATCCTTCGGTGGCTATGGGTCACGCATCTTACTTCCCACGTTCTTGTATTTCGTATCTTGACTTCTGGCTTTTAGATATATTGATACAATTCTTTTTAATTAATCTTACACATGCTTTTAACTGTTTCACCGGTGACAATCTGCAACTCCAAATGCACCAGCGTATAAGGTGGCACTTGATACTACGTAATGTCCATGTTTTTCGATTTACATCTTAATCCCTTCCACATAAATGTCCTGGCTTTATTGCGTGATAAGTCTTGCCTGTTATTTCCCAACATTTACGGCTGTATCGTTTAATCTTAGGTAACCTGTAGCCTTAAGGATCACACACCCGCCCTGTAATCCGAGGTTGCGGATTCGAGCCTGCATACGGACCGGGCGACCCTCGCAATATCCTTAGCGCATGTGCGACCGGTGGTGGATGCGCGGCAGTGAAGCGCCGGTACTGTGTACTGGTGTGCTGCTGATGCACCTCGTTAAGTCAGCTGCATATTGTGTATACATTGTCTTTCTCCTTTTTTCCTAATTTCCGCCCGTGGTTCTTGCTTCTGGGAACTTTGGTGAGGCGATTGGAGCATAATTTGATTTTGGGCATTTGGCTGTAGTCCAACCTACCCCAACTTTGAGCCTACCTTGATGATTCCATTAGACTGTTTCTAACCTGGGCTACCCCAACCGCCTGTTTTCCACTTACCCACCAATAATAACTAGGATGATCGACCTGTATTGTGGACAGTGAAATAATCTACCCACATGGTGTTCGCTCTCTTTGTCACTCAACTCAAAGTGGCATATCAAGTGGTTTAGCCCGCAGATGTATAGTCAGTTATTTTCGAATCAACACCGACTGCTTTTCTACCGTCCCAATGAGCCGGACTGAGACAATTACCCGATTAATAACTGGTTGGTTCCCCTGTGTATACTTTTCCAGTTTTTAAACCTTTGCTATCTGGGCTTTTGGGTGTCACTCAGTTAATTTTTCTCTCCCGTTACCGTTTTTAGCCCACTACGACTTTCTGTTTAGCTGGCACCTTCGTTTTACTGAGCGTTCCGATATTTTCCACCGTTTCGGGCGTGCGATTCATTTGTGTCACTCGGCTTTTTAATAATCTCTTTTCAGATATCTTAGTGTCAATCATACCGCGTTAACTCGCTCGTTGCTGTCTGCATCTACTCATCCCCAGCGATGGTGCGTCTGCTTTTGATTACTTAGCCCTAAAGGTACCCCTTCGCTGTCGTCAGCATCAATATAACTGAAATGCTGTACACATTTATGAAAGAGGGAGAACTGAAGAATCAATTTTACAATACCGCAACTCGTTGTACAATTGTGGATTTTCACAAATTGTTTTGTAAGTTTTTTGTTTGTCTTAATTGTTGTTGCCCCGAAAATTGCTACTCACTGGTTTCTACTGGAATCCAAACAATGGTGAACAAGCAGACTTCCGCCTCAACATAGACTACGTTGACTATATGTTTCCACTACAATGTTCTCGGATAATGCCGCTCATTCAGTTACTCTTCCACCACCGTTCCAAGTGGTTTATCGGCCCGTAGCCTAGAGGTAGCGAGCTTCTCTTGTAATCTTGCGGCGCCGCTTCAAGCCTGCGTATTGCAGGGTGACCTTCCAGTATCCTTAGCCTAAGTACAACCGGTGGTGGTTGTGCGGCAGCGAAATGTCGTTACTGCGTACCGGCGTATTGCTGATGCCTTGCATTTTTTCGACCGCGTTTTCTTCTGTTAATCGCACGTAACCCTGGCACTGTCCATCTCTAGAAGGTGTTCCAAAGATGATCATTTTTTCCTAAACGTTCGACTTTTGTCACCCGAGACTTTTAAGACATATCCCTCGCTCAGTTTACCGTCACAGGCGAGTGCATCAGGACTGCTTTGTCACCTTCTGTGCCTTGATATCCAACTAATCGCTGATTCTGTACCAGTTATTTCATCTGAAGTGGATGTTAGGGTAGGTAAACAACGGACAAGCCTAGAGTATGTAAATTTCTTTGGATTTCACTTGCTCTCCATACACTCACCACTGCGTTGTGCAGTCCAAAATATTGCATTCCTTGGCCCACGTTTTGTGTCTTTATGATGCAAGGTACTGTCACAGAACTAACTCATCACGCCACCGGTTCCCACTATCATCACCAATTCGCTTAATTAGTATCATTCATTATACACGTCAGCCAGAGGTGGGAAACACCTTAGCTACTGTGCCGCAGTACATAAAGGAGAAGGAAAATAAATACAAAAGTTACATGCCAGCTGAGCTACCAGCAACGGATAGGCATCGTTCCGGTAAACTACTAGCCGGATACTAGGCAAAAGAAAAAATCACTTTGTTTCACGCTACGAAATGAGATCGTAGATGGAGGGGGAGGCTAAAACGTATGGGGAGGGACAAAGAAACTCACATGAGGAACGCCACTGAGGTCGGCTCCTTGCCATGTCAGCAAGTGTATCCAGCCAAACGTGTTCATCGTCTTTCGGACCCCAATCAGGGAGCCGTGATGCTCCAACCGAGGCTAGCTCCGAAGTGAGGGCCTGCATTCCTCTTGACTAAGTCATCGCTTGGCCACCCCTCCTCTTCTTCCATCCACATCCCTGGTGAGCAAACAACGCTCGTCGTGGAAGTCGGTTGGCCGGCAAGCGCAACACGTGGCTCAGCCATCGGTACCTGTTGCGTGAAATGACGGTGCTGAGCGGTTCTTTTCCTTTTTCTGTGCCGTAAACAAGGTGTCGAACACGCTCGTTACTCACGCGGTGTTCCTACCAGATGTGAGCCAAACTGCGAAGGCACCGGTGGTCGAACGTAACTAGCCTCTTCATATCCGCCGATCTTAGGGGTAAGGTTTCGCAACCGTACAGTAAGGTCGAACGTACCGCTGCATTGTACACTGTACCCTTCATTGCGAGAGTAATATCGCGCCGCCACCATAGGTGGCTAAGGTTAGCAAAAGCACTTCGACCTTTTGCTATACGGTTCGTGATCTCGTCTTCGATCCCACGGACGCTGACACAACTTCCCAGATAGCTGCATTTCCGAACGACTTCTAGCTGATCCCCACCAAGGGTCTGCGCAGTACGCGATCCCTGCCAATCTTGGAGGATCGCTTTGCATTTCGATGGTGCAAAGCAAAGCCCGAAGCGGCTGACAGCCAGTGCTAATCTGTCCAGCGCGGTTTGGCAGGTCTGGGAGTTGTCACAGATGAGGGAAGTGTTGTCTGCATACTCCAAGTCGAGAAGTCGTTCTCCTGGGAGTAGCTTCCCACCTTCCAAGTCATATCCTGTAAATGCAAACTCCATGACTTCGTCAATAGCGAAGTTAAAGAGGAAAGGTGACAACGGGCATCCCTGTTTCACCGCTGGAGATATTGAAGGGTGGGGACAGCTTGCCGTAACCCCTCACTCTGCCCGTGTATCTGCATCACCTTTGGTGGTAAACTAACCGAAAATCTTACCATTCGTTTTCCCGAACCTACCACAGAATCTAGGGATCCTATCTCATTTCCCACCATTGTTGCATTCTCTTTGTCACTTATCACTTACCGTTTAATCCTTATGCATGTATATCCTGAACACCTGTGACGGGTGTACGAAACTACCACAAGGAGTTCACTCGAGTACGATTAGCTAGTCTTACCTGCATTTTTTGGACAAAATCCGCGCTTCATCTCAAATTCCCGAGTACTTTCGTTTGCCTGCGGACCTCCTTCATCATTGTTCATTGCTATTCTTTCACAATTTTGTTCAACAATGTGCCCCTTCTCACGCAACATAGGCCCATCAGTCACCTTGCCACTCATAGTGATATTCAATTCTATCAGGGTGGCACTGGATTTAAGCATTGTGCGATGGCTTGCATGCTTCACAGGTAGTGCTTGTCCTGTTCTTAGAGATCCCAAACGCAATCCAATCTTCGAAGCGTCATAAAACCCTCGGCCTTAACAGCCTACCCCAAACTCGAGGGCAGGAACGTACTTATCAGTGTTTCCCCGTCGTCCACTTTCGTAGTTAACTCGCCTCATAGTACGCCATGGGCCGTGTCACTCGAACTACCCACTGAAACCGAACTTCGCCTTCAGGTTACACACTTGAAGCGCTTTAAGGCTGCCGGTTCAGACGCGCTTCCTCTGGAACTGTTTACTTATGGTGGTACGAAAATTGTCACTCAGCTAACATTGCGATTTATGAAGATCTGGAATGAAGAAAGAGCCGGCACTTCATAGGGAGAGTCAGTTATTGTCCCAGTCTTCAAGAAAGGCTCCCGCATTTCATGTGCCAATCATAGAGAGATCAGCCTGGTATCAGTTGCTTCCAAGCTGCTGGTATCCATCATGTTGCGCAAGCTGTCGCTTACTCGCGCGACGCACTTTCGAGAGGAGCAGGCTGGTTTTCGTCCCGGTAGAGGTTATGTGGGCTATATTTTCACGCCTCCTCAGCTCCTTGAACATTGCAACATATACCGCAGACCCACCATCGTCGTCTTCCTGGACATTCGGGCTGCATTAAACTCTGTAGTCTGACATGCTTTATTGCATTGCGTACTAAAGAACGGAGTTCCTGAGAAATACGTCGCTATTCTTACCCCACTATTCTTACCCACTTACACTTAAGCTAGGTCTTTTTAAGCTGGATGAATTTCATTCCACTTTATTTGGTTTGTTCTGCCTACCTGAATAATCTTCTATTAACTGGCCACGTTGCTTACCCTAATTGCGCTTATCTTCGGTAACTTTATTGCGTTTGGAGCATTTTCAGGTAACTTGTGGACATTTTTACTTATCGCGGATTCGTTGTTAACCGTCGCAACGAGACTGGACCTTAACGTGGTGCGACGGTTTGCGTACCTCATTGACCCATTGAGCTATACTGGGTGATGCCTCCGAGCATCTTGAGAGCTACTCCTACCAGGTTGGTCAATGGTGAGAGGTCAGACAAACTCAGTCTCCTGGTCCTCCAGGTTGGGGGTTTGAATGGGATGGCGTCCATTTCTGTAAAACTAAATCACTGCCACCCCGCTGCCTTGCGGACAGGCTTTTGAGCCAAAGGCTTTGGATGAGGATCCTAATCGTCCTCCTGTCTAGGTCTGGGCGCCCTGGCAGTATCCCAGCCCACATACAACCATGACATTTTCTTCCAATACAAACTTCATCCTGCATCGGCCGTCGCGCAGATTATCAAGGGTCGCCTTATCTGCTGCATACAGCAGGGCGGATAAGCGAAAACATGCTACTGCTGGCGCCTCCCTTCTTTCTTTTCCACCTTTTTCTCTTACTCCCATCCCGGCCCCCATTACTAACCTTCCTTCTATAATTCCCAGCTTAATTGACAGCAACCGAAGTGCTACTGGAGTAGTACCATCTGCGGCCACCATCCCACAGCACCTACCGGACGCCTATCGGCAAAAGTCCCTTATAAGGCCACGCTGTCCCGTTTCCATGGCGACATTCAACGTCCGCACTCTAAGATAAACAGGTCAGCAGGCTGCACTCGCACGCACCTTGGACACACTGGGTGTTGATGTGTGTTGTGTGTCCGAAACTAGGATTAATGACCCTAACGGGGTTATTGAATTGACTGCATCCGGCTTATCCTCTCGTTATTGGTTGCACGCATCCGGAGACGCCGATGCGGCACTCACGGGTCAAGCTTGTGTAGGTATCATTCTAAGCTCCAAGGCTGAGTCATCGTTGGTTGGTTGGATTCCGGTGAACAGCCGTTTATGTGCAGCCCGTTTGACGACATCAGCTAAGGTGAATTCGCGAAGTAAAACAAAACGCTGTTTGTTTGTGATTTCCGTTTATGCTCCCACAGACTGCAGTTCTAATGCAGTCAAGGACACTTTCTATCACGAACTGAACGCCCTACTACGCAGTGCTACTAGTTCAGATATTATAGTACTTGCAGAGGATATGAACGCACACGTAGGGCGTCTGAGCTCTTCAGAAGCTCAGCTGGGTGGTAAGTATGGACTTAACTCCGAACGGACTGACAACGGCGAGCGTCTGCTGTAACTGTGTGCGGAGCACCAGTTGTTTCTTACTAGCACTGCTTTTAGATACAGTGGGCGCCGAAGTGCCGCTTGGCATCCACCTGTAGCTGGCCAGCGATGGACCCAAATTGACCACATAGCCATAAGTTACAGGTGGCGCGGTTCCATTCTGGATTGCCGCTCGTACTGGAGTACCTGTGTCGACTCTGATCATGCCTTGGGACGCTGTCGTTTCTCCATGAACTTTACCCGAAGGCGCACAAAGCGTCTCCCCCGATTGGCAACGGAGAAATTGTCCCAGCCCTCGGTCAGGCAAGCCTATCAAGAAGCACTGCATAGCGAACTCTCGCTGTC